AAGGAAGGTAGATCACTAAGACAGTGATGCATAGTGGGGTAAGGAAAGGTGGAGGAGGAGGAAAAGGAGGAGAAATTAATAGACGAGGAGAAGGGGGAGAGGAAGATGGAAAAACGGAAGGAAGAGAAGAGGAAGAGATGGGAACTTAAGGAGAGAGGGGTGGGGAGGGGGAAAATGAGGTAACAATGAGGAAGAAGATGGAGAGGGGGTTATGAGCCACCAAAACCCGTTGCCGTAGAATCAATTCCGACTCATAGTGACCCTGTAGGACAGAGTAGAACCATAGGGCTTCCAAGGCTGTAATCTTTACGGAAGCCGACTGCCACATCTCCTGCAGAGCGGTTGGTGGGTTCGAACTGCTGACCTTTCAGTTAGCAGCCGAGCGCTTAACCACTGCGCCAGCAGGGCTCCTTTTACAGACCACAGAGACAAGAAATCACGGCAGAGAGAGCAAGAGGCTGAGAAGGCAGCGCATCACACCCAGCTGGGCTTCCATCGCTCCTCTCCTTCAGCTGTGAGGCCCCCATGCTGCCACTGACAACCTGTCCCCCCACCCTGCGGAATCATCCAGAGGCTGAAAACCACCCTTACCCGGCACCCACCTTTCACACACACGCACACACATACACGCACACACTCCCCTGCCCACCTTGCTCTGATTCCACTCCCCCTCCCCAACATCCCTCTGTGCATCCCCAGCCACAGCCCCACCTCAGCTCCAAGCGTGATCCCTTCCTCACAGGCCCTGAGGCCAGGTAGATGTGGCCGAAACCACTAAGCCAACCAGCAGCCTTTTAAAATCCCACTTACATAAATAGGTATAAATAGGTATATGGGGTGGGGGTGGGACAAAAATGCTCATAGTCTCAGCCTCAGAGGAACTGGGACTTGTGGGACTTGGGGACACACTCCCAGCTCCCTTCCTCTGTTGGGCAGCTAGAGGCTGCATTGCAGAGGGGAGCCAAGGGCTCAGGGGCTGAGGAGAACAGGCAGGAAGGGATCTGCTGCACCCCAACTTTTGTTCCTTCCCCCATCAGCACTTTTTGGTCCAGGCATTGAGAGAGCCTCTGCCTCCAGACCACAGGTTGTTCGTCCCTGGGACAGGACAGCTGGCCTGGGAGGGGAGGGTGGTGACCCAGGAAGCTGGAGTAGAGGCAGCATCCCAGAAACAATTCCCCAAATTGCAGGCAATTCTCCAGGCAATAGGGAAAAGAGCATGCAGAAGGCCTGCCTAGGTGCCAAGGGACTTCAGAAGCCAACACAGTGACAGGGCCTGACACTTCCACATTCAAACCACATTCCAGAAAGGGACAGGAATCAGAATAGACACATTTCTGGCTTAAGAGGCCCACAGGTCATTCTGCCTCAGAGGCAGGGTGCTGGCCTAAATAACCCATGAAGACTCCTATCAGCCTTTGGTTTTAGGGCTTGTTGTAACTTCTTTGCTTCACTTCTCAAGTATATACACAGTAAGTAATACATTCTCAGTGTTCGCTGAGTGAGGCATCCCTCTTATCAGCCCTGTAACACTCATCATGATGGTGTTCCATGGTCAATGTCTGTCTCCTGACTAGAACATAAACTCCCAGAGGGGAGGTCGTGTCTGTCCTACTCACCTCCACATCCACAGCCTAGAACAGCTCCTGAGCAAAACGAGCGCTCGGTAAATGTGACTGAGCAAATGAATCAAGGTAAAAAGCTTAGGCTCCGTCAGATACAAGAAACGATTCTGAAGAAGTGGGAGAAAAGGAAGCACTGTGAACAGGGGTGGAACCCCAGTCCATGTGAAACACTGCATTCATTTCACTCCTTCTATAAATATCTATTGAGCACCTACTATATGCCAGACATTGTTTCACGTGCTAGGAACACAGCAGTAAGCAAAAAGAAAAAGTCTCACAGAGCTTACATTCTAGTAGGAAGAAATAAACAATAGACAAATAAATAGGTAAGTATATAATATGTCAGATGGTGGTATGTGCTGATGAGAAAAATAACTCAGGAAGTTAGGGTTGGAGAGTACCTGGGGAGGGGTGGCGGTTGCTGCTCTTCGTAGAGTGGTTAGGGAGGGCAATTGAGCGGAGGCCTGGAGGAAGTGACGGGAGTTAGGGATGAGCCATGTGGCAATGTGGGGGAAGTGCATTCCAGGTAGGGGGAACAGCAAGTGCAAAGGCCCTGCACCAGGGGTGTGCTTGGTGTGTTCAAGGAGCGGCAAGGATTTTGATGTGGCTGTAATAGAAAGAATGAAGGGGATGGTGGAAAGGAGGAAGCCAGAGAAGGAGAAGAGGGCCATATCACATGAGAGGCAAGACCACCCACTGTGGCAGAGACAAGACAGGACTGGACTTGCATTTTAAAGGGCTCCCTCTGGCTACTGTGTTAGAATAGATTGAAAGGGAACAAGCACGGAAGTCAGATCGGAGATTACAGCCATAATCCAGGCCTCAGACGAAGGGGCTCAGCCCAGGTGGTAGCAGTGGAGAGGTGAGAAGGGGTCAGAACCTAGATATGCTTTGAAGGTACAGATAAGAGGATTGGATGTGGAATGTGAGAAAGAGCACCTGAGCCACAGGAAGAATGGTGTTGCCTTTCACTGAGACGAGGAAGATTTGGGGAAAGTGAGGCTGAACAATCTGGAGTTCAGTTTGGGGCACATTAAGTAAGAGGCCCATGATGGAGAAAGTGCTTTGGAAATCATCAGGTGTGGGCGGCATTTTCAGGCATGAGACAAGATGAGATCACTAAGGAGTAAATGTGGGAAGCGTGGAGATGCCAGAGGACTGAGGCCAGGGATGCCACAGTCAGGGGCAGATCAGGAGGAACCAAAAAGGAGACACAGCCAGTGATGTAGGAGGGACAGTGTGGTCTCCCTGAGGACAGAGTTTCAAGACAGTGTTACTACCCACTCTGGCTCAGACAGATCTGAGCTTGAACCTCATTTACTGGCTGTGTGACCTTGGGCAGGTCACCTTCCCTCTCTCTGAACCTCAGTTTCCCCATCTATAAAACAGGGATGGTGGTAGTACTTGCCCCATTCATTTGATTTGGGGGTTAACAAGCTTAGCTTGGTGACTGGCTCATAGTGAGCACTCAAAGACCATGATCTGCAGCTACTAGTACCTGGGAGACTCCTGTCCAGGGGCTGAACCTCGGTCTCAGGTTCAATCCTGGTGCCAGCCGATTAGTTGCATGGAAGGAAAATCTGTGTGTCAGGCACTATTGGAACCAAGAATCTTGACTCCTTCCACTCCAACCTCACCAGGAGCAGCTAACTCTCCCATCCTTAGTCACTAGAGCAGCGTTTCCCAAAGTGTGGGAATGCAAGATGATTTTAGGTGGTTAATGGACGCCTCATAAAACAATTTTGAATCACAGAGTGAGAACATTATCCCTTTACAGTTCTCTTCCAGCTCTTCTGGCTATGTCAAGAAGAAAGCCTCATGTTGATGCTACTGTGTCTTTAACATGCCTCTAACGCTTAGCAAAGAGAAAGCAGACCTCGGGCTTAATTAGAGACGTCAACCATACCAGGCTGAACTTCTGTGATACTCTGGGGCTTCTTCGCAGAAGTTGGGTTTGTGATCGCCTTCTATCTATGGCAAGGAATACTGATTTTCCATGTCTGGAAGAGTTATGAAGGATTCTTTCTAAACAAATTCATGGAGGGAAAAAGATAAGTGAAATGATTTAAAGAAATGCTAAGTAAATATGAGGTCAAGTGGCTTGAGGTACATGGAGGGGAGTAAGGCAGATATCCCGAGCCGGTTCCTAAATGCCTGAAGTTTGGGAAAACCTCCTTTAAGAGAAGTCAGGGAAAGAGTGCCAATGGTCCAGGGCAGCCATACCACTGCTCAAGAACCAAGTCAAGGTCACAACCACCTTCTAAGGCTCAAGAACCTTCTCCAGTGAGCACAGATAGGGAGAGAGAGCAGGGCTGCAGCCAGGACCTCCTGCACCCGGCTGCAGCTCTGGGCCTCCCTGCTGGAGTGCAACAGACGGCTGCTCTGGGGGACTGCCAAGAAAGGTATTAGCCTTTCAGTCATTAAGAGGTCCCATTCACCCAATGATCCCCGAGGCACCCCACCCTCCAGGAGCCTCCTCCAGCTGAGGCTGCACCAAGATGAGATTGCAGGGCTTGTGACCTAATTCCCTGGGGTTCTGGCCTGTTCAGTCTAAACACTCATCCCTCAGGGTGGCAATAGGACTTGGGTTCTGTGCTTATAGATGCAGGACCTTTAGCTAAGAACATCTATCCCATTCACAAGTAATTACTGATCACCTACTATGAGCAGCCATCACCCCATGTGTCAGTTTGTCATACTGTGGTGACTTGCCTGTTGCTATGATGCTGGAAGCTATGCCACTGGTATTTCAAATACCAGCAGGGTCACCCATGGTGGACCGGTTTCAGTGGAGCTTCCAGACTATGACAGACCAGGAAGAAAGGCCTAGCAATCGACTTCCAAAAATCAGCCAACGAAAACCCACTGAAGGGATTGAAGCAGGGGAGTGACATGATCACATTTATTTTTTATTGCTCTGGCTCCTATGTAGAAAATAGGTAGTAGTGGGGCTGGAGTGCAGTTGGGGTTGGGGGGGCAGTGGGAGTCTATCCAGGTAAGAAGTGATGGTGGCTTGGATACGGGAGGTGGCGGTGGAGATGGAGAGAAGTGGAGAATTCAGTATTGCACATTTTTAGGAGGCAGCATCAACAGGGCTTGCTAATGGGTAGGGTGGGTGTTAGGGCAAGGAATTATTCCTGTTTCTGGCGTGTCATTTGCCTTATGGGGAAGACTGGGGGAGGAGCAGATAGGGAGAGAGAAGACACTCTTAATTCCCTGTTGCACCTTACCTTCCAGAAGCCTACCCAGTGGACAGTCAGGCATTGAGTTTGGAGTTCAGACAAAAGATGGGAGCTGGAAATGGCCAGATGCCCAGTGGGCGCTTGATGTTTGCTCATTCCCTCCTCATCCCGCATCCTTCCTGCGCACCCCGGTTACCTGCAGCGTATCCAAAGCCTGGCCGGCCACGCCGGTGGTGAGGGAGGCTACCTGCACCGCCTGCTTGCGGGCGGCCAGTAGAATCCTGCCGTAGGTGAAGCAGATGGCTCCTGAGGGCAGGAAGAAGGTGAGGCTGGACGCCACGAGAACAAAAGGCAAGCTGGCCAGCAGGCGGCACTGGCCCGGGACAGGCGCCTGCGTGCGGCCCAGCTCGTGCCAGCCCAAGAGCAGAGGCAGGAAAGAGGCAAGCGCGGCGAGGCTCCAGGCGCCCAGGACTAGCGCCATGGCGCGCGGGGGCGTCATGCGCAGCTTGTAGCGCAGCGGCGAGAGGATGAGCAGGTAGCGGTCGAGGCTGATGAGGCAGAGGTTAAGGATGGAGGCGCTGCAGCACATCACGTCGAAGGCGGCCCAGAGCAGGCAGAGGCCGCGCGCCAGCACCCAGCGCCCGTACAGCGCGTTCAGCATGGCCGGCGGCATCACCACCAGCCCCACCATCAGGTCCGACGTGAACAGCGACACCAGGAAGAAGTTGGACGTGTTGCGCAGCGCCGGCTGCGTGCAGATGAGCGCGATGAGCAGCGAGTTGGCCGCCGCTGTCAGCGCGATGACCACACACAGCGCGGCAGCCACCCAGCCGCTGCCACCCGCGCCCGACGGCGGCCCCGACTCCCAGTCCGGGGTACTGTGGTTGGAAGGGCCTGGCTCTGGGATCATGGGGGCGGGGGATGGGAGGCGAGGACGTGAGGCCTGAGTGGTCCCAAGGACGTGGTAGGGAGGGCAGGAAGACAGGGTGAGGGGTGGCTGGTGAGGGGCAAAGACTCTTGGAGGAGCGGAAACTGGATGGGCGTCTTCGAGTGAGAATGGGTCCCTCTAGGGGGGAAGGGCAGGAGGGAAGACCGAAGTGGAGGCTCTAGGTCAAGGGCAGCTACCCTAGGAGGAGGAGGAGGAGGGGTTATATGGGCTCCCACCGTGGGGGGACAGAGACACCTGTCGCAAACGAGTAGAAATTTTGGGGAGAGGGACACCTGACGAGGAGCTGACTCCCCTAGAGACAGTGGGCACAAACTTAGGGGCATGGGGACGCCAGATGATCCTTGGAGGTTGGATGGGCCCCCTCGGGTGAGAGCAGAGCCCCCTAGAAGCAGCGGGAGGTAAGATAGGGGCAGGGACGCCTGGCCAGGGCAGAGACCCCAGAGGTGGGCGCAGGCGGTGTTGGGCGCTCCCCGGCCGAGGGCAATCTCCCCGACAGCGGCGGGCGTATGGGAGGCCAGTCTGGAGCCGTGGTGCTTGGGGTCGTAGGGTGGGGCCCCTGGAAGGCACCCCGGGGCTGGGGAGGAAGGGAGGACGCAGGCCCGCTCCGAGGGGAGCGGAGAAGCAGCGGCCGCGCCTCCGCTCCCTCTGCCCCCGGCCGGGTAGCTGGCCCGGCTCCGCAGCGCTCAGTACCTGGGGCGCTCTGCGCTGCTCCGCTGCCGGCGACTGCGGCAGGCCCCGCGGGGCGCGAGAGGGAGAGGCGGCCGCGGCCCGGGAGGCGCAGCGAGGGGCCGACGCGCGCCGAGGAGCTGGTGGGTGCTCGCAGCAGCGCGTGGTCCCCACGCCTTGAAGCTTGCGCCCCGCCCCGCCCCGCAGTGGGCGGGGAGAGCCCGAGCCCCAGCCTTGGATACGGGAGGGTCCGGGGACCCCCGGCCAGGGAAGGGAAGATCCAAGCGCCCCAGGCGCGTAGGGTCCCCTCCCTGGCTGTCACAGCTACCTTCCGATCCCCATGTGCCCCTCCCCAACCCACACGTGGCGGCGGCGCAGTTGGGACTCAGGAGGGTGCTGTGGCCCGCCTTAATCCAGGGACTGCTCCCCAGTGGGGGCCTGCCCGCCCGCAGCGGGGGTCACCGCCCTATGGGGGGAGGAGGCAGGAGTTGGGAGATACTGGGCAGATCGCCTCAGTTGCTGTATGTTTGGGCTTCCGTTGCTCTATGTATAAAATGGGTTAGTAATTCCCGCATACTTCACCTTTGGTTTGATTAGGAAGGCTTGGAGCAGTAGGTCCCCCCTGCCACAGGGCCTTGAGAACAGAAACTGTACTGTTTCCCAGCAGCGCCAGGCACTAAGGATGAAGTCCCTGACCTGTAGGTGCTCTCAAGCTAACAAAGAGGGTGAACAGATTTGGGATCCTCAGGCCAGGTGGAGTACAGTTGCTGCAGGGAGAAGGGAGGTGTGTGGCCCCCCTGGGTGCAAAACCCCTGTATCTCTCCTCCCTGGCTGAGCATAGTCTCTTCCAAACACTGTGCAGATGAATACTGTGGATTCCATTCATTCATTCATTCATTCAGCAAATATTTATTGAGCACCTACCAGGTGTCCAGCACTGTTCTGGCCAATCAGGACACCACAGTGAACAAAACAAAGATCCCTGACTTCATGGAGCTTACATTCTAGTGGAAAGAGATAAACAATTAACAATAAGCATAATTAACACTACAGTGCATAAGGTGATAATCATTATGGAAAAGAGAATGTAGAACAGTATGGGGGGCAGAAGGCGGCTCTGCAGGAGAAAAGAACTGTCGGTCTACTTCCAAAAAATTACAGCCTATGGGGCAGTTCTATTCTGTCACATGGGGTCACTATGAGTCAAAATCAAAACAACAACATGAGGGGTGGTTCTAGAGTGATGGTGATGCAGGTCTTTTTCCTTCCACAGAAACAGAAAAATTATACCTCCCATGTATAACACTCCTACACTGTCCCAGAAGCTTTGTTATATTATTCCTACCTGGGTGGTGCGAACAGTTCGTCTGCTCAGCTACTAACCAAAATGTTGGAGGTTCGAGTCCACCCAGAGATGCCTCAGAAGAAAGGTCTAGTGATCTACCTGTAAAAAAAACCAGCCACTCAAAAACTTTTGGAGCACAGTTCTATTCTGACACACATGGGATCACCAAGTGTTGGGGTCGACTTAACGGCAACTTTTTTTAATGTTCCAGGGACTTTATTATATTATTTGTACCCCTACAATCCACCACCCATCTGTCAGTTTGTCGTACTGCGGTGGCTCGCACGTTTTTATGATGCTGAAAGTTATGCCAAATATCGGCAAGGCCACCCATGTTGGACGGGTTTCAGTGGAGCTCTCAGACTAAGACAGACTAGGAAGAAAGATTTGATAATCTACTTCCCAAAATTAGCCAATGAAAACTCTATGAATCACAGAATATTGTCTGAGACTTCAGCTTATTTGTTTTGGACCCATCATCATGAGGGACCAATCACTGAAGAAGGAGATCATGTTTGGTAAAGTGGAAGGAAATGCTCAATGAGGTGGCTTGACACAATGGCCGCAACAATGGACTGAAACATACCAACAATCATGAGGATCATTAGGTTCTGTTATATATAGGGTTGCCATGAGTTGCAGCTGCCTGGACAGCAACTAATAACATAATTAACAACCCCTACAATAATACTCAGAGTAGGTGTTCAACTGAGGCTAGGAGAGGCCAAGGGCCTTGCCAAGGTCACAAGCAACAAGTAGTCAAGCACCCTTCGCAGGTGGCCAAGCTACCTTCTAACAGAAGCTTCAAGACCCTACAGCTCTCCACCCACCCCTAAGCCACTGTTTGGAGCTCAGAGCCCAAGTCTTGCCCACAGATGGATCTATGGAGCAGATGCAGGAGGCCTGTCCACCCTCCCCACCACGACCCTGCACCACCGTGATGGTTTCTGCAGTGCCCCAAGGAACATGTAAGTACACCAAGTGCTTGGCTGAGAGTCAGGAAGACCCGGCTTAGAATCCCAGCTCTGCCACTTACCACCTGTGGGACGTAGGGTCAACAGCTTCACCTAAAAGAGTCTGTTTTGTCTTCTGCAATAGTTAGCAGGGCAGTACAGAACCCTCCTCACAGGGTTGTCGAGGGGATGAAATGACACTCGTGTAATCTGTAAAGTTTAGGGTGCAATGTATGTCAGTGTCAGCTGCTGGCCTCAGTGTTTGCATCTGTGTGATGACAACAGGGACTGGATGATCCCTATGGGCATGTTCAGTTCTATGGTGACTCCTTCAGTTCAGAAGTTTCTGATGTGAGCAACGGCAGACCTGAGAGATGTTGTGTAGAGTGACCAGGGTTCAAATCCCAATTCTGCTACTAGCTATATGAGGTTCAGAAAGCCCCTTTGATTTTCTGCAGGTTTGAAATTGGGGTAGTGGAGATGTGAATGGGATGAGTATTTAAACCATTTAGCAGAGAGGAGGTGTCTGACAAATTTTAGCTTTGTAAAAAATAGTACAGTCATGTGTTTAGGCAATGTCCAGCCACATGTATGTCCATGGTTAAGGTTATAATAGAGTTCAGAAATCCCAACTAGAGAACAGGACGTAGTGGATGTAACCAGATGTAGTGAACAAAACAGCTTCCCGCATGCAACATGTGTATCTCATGTCTCTTGCTCACAAAGCGATTGTGCTGCCAGGTGTATAATGGTACAGCACATTACAGTACCCCATGTAGCTTTGCTAAGTAGAGGCAGTCCCTGGAATATAAGCAAGTTCCATTCCTAAGTCTGTCTTTAAGTTGAATTTGTACGTAAGTTGGAACAGTTGGTATGCTTCATATCTAACGTCAGTTAGTCAAATGTTTGTCTTAGTATATAGTGTACCTTTCTATGCATAAAAAACATTAAAGAAACACTTCTAGATACACTAAAGCATTTAACATAATTATGCAGTAATAATAATGTTTTAATGCACGTCACGAAGTAGCACCTGTTTGTTATTACAAACCATTGTATGTACCTCGAATTTTTAATATGATATGATAAAAATTGGTTGGTAACTACGGGTTTCACGTAAGTCAGACGTTCGTAACCCAGGGACTGCCTGTATATAATAATATGGTGTTCACACAATATCCAAATCACATAACATCCTATTTCACAGAATGTACCATGGATGTTAAGTGACACACGACTATATATAGTAGAACAGAATATTAGTCCCTTTGCTTTAGCTTTATTTTGTAATGTTTGATGTCTTTTATTTTTAAAATGACCTAAAGAAAGCATAACAAGAATGTTAACATTTATTCCTTCTGGGCAGATAGATTTATGGATGTTTGCTATATATGATGTGTACCCTGCTGTAATTTAAAAAATAATAATACCCTGACACGGATCACAACAGAGAGTCCCGGACAGAGCAGGAGAAAAAAGTAGAACAGAATTCAAATTCACATAAAAAGACCAGACTTACTGGTCTGACAGAGACTGGAAGAACCCCCAAAACTATGGCCCCTGGACGCTCTGCTAACCCAGAACTGAAACCATTCCCAAAGTCCACTTTTCAGACAAAGATTAGACAGGCCTACAAAACAAAGAAAAAAACACGTGAGGAATGTGCTTCTTAGTTCAATCAAATGTACAAGACCAAATGGGCAGCTCCTGTCCAAAAGCAGGATGAGAAGGCAGGAAGGGACAGAAACTGGACGAATGGACACAGGAAACCCGGGGTGGAAAGGGGGAGCATGCTGTCACATTCTGGGGATTGCGACCAATGTCACAAAACAGTATGTGTATAAATTTTTGAATGTGAAATTCACTTGAGCTGTAAACTTTCACCTAAAGCACGATTAAAAAAAAAAAAAAAAGACCTTGGGGGGGAAAAATAATAATAATTTTTAGATATGGGCCAGGGTGGTGGTGCCACTTTGTGACCACACTGTTATTGTCTTGAATTTGAGAACTTTTTTCTAAAGCCCTCTATGGACTTTTTTTCAGAAGCTCCTGTATGTGCTCCTAAGTCTGTCATTTCGGTCATGGAAAACTAAATTTCTAGACTTGCTAACATCTCAGAGTAGGGAAGGATTTTCAAGGATATTTAGCCTTTGCTTGATTACCTCTAGCCACAGCAAGCTTCCTCCCTGGAGGAGATAGCCACAATGGGCTGCTGAGTCTTAGGAAGTCCTCTGCCCCAGACCTCTATGCCTGTTAGTACAAAAAGGTCCAGGGGGAGCTCCTCATTATAGAACTGGAGAGACCGAGGTCTGGACAGGTTGTGAGGCCTGCTCTCGCCTGCTCTCACAGACAGCATTGATCAAGCTGGGCAAACTCTGTGAGGGCAGGGACTTTTGTCTGTTTTGTTCACTGCTGTATCCCCAGGGGCTAGATCAGTACCCAGAACAATATATATTTA